GTCAAATCTGTTCTTGAGAAGATCTCTAAATTCAGGTGGGATGTATTCAAGGTTGTGTTTTGGATCTTGTGGACTTGTTTTAGTTTTCTTCAGCTTCAACTTGAACTTGTATATGGGCAATTTTTGTACATAGCATATAACTGGGGCTTATTTTAAATCTAGTTGATAATCTCTGCCTTTTAATTGGAATATATAGAACAGTTACACATAATTTGTTTCTCAATATGCTTGAGTTTAAATCCTCAGTCTTGCCGTTTATTCTATATTTGTCCCATCTATTCTTTGTAAATTTTTTTTCTTTCATACTGTTTTATTTTTCATTGGTTGATCGATTAATTATGTGGGTTGTGTTAATGTGTATGTTAGTGTGTGTGTATTTTTGAATAATTCCATTATATAGCTTTAAATTGGTGGTTGCTTTATAATTTACAAATCATAATTACTCCTGTATGTGGATTGGGCTTTGCCATTTAATTATGTATTATTTACCCTGGTTTTCTATTCTTCAAGTTTAGGTCCTTCTCTATCTTCTTTTGGACTGATCTAACTTTTTTAAAACAGCTTTTTTCTGTGTTGTTTGGATGGTATACATTCTTTTCTTTTTTTTTTTTAATTTACTTTTAGTGGTTTTTCTTCAAATCTTAAGATATGTATTTGACAACAGAACCAACCTAATTTACTTTGCCCTTCTAAAAAATACAAAAGCCTTAAAGGTCTTTAACTCTCATGACCCCTTCCACCTTTCATGGTTTGTTTTCCAGTGTTTTAGGTTTATTTTTTTTTAATTTTTCCATTTTTTTTCTATCATTAAATTGTTCCAGAAGGTCAATGTCTGTTTAGTTTTATTCGTTATGTTGCTTGCCTTTTCTTCTTGCATCTCAGTTTCTCCTTCTAGTCATTTTTCTTCTTAGAGAATTCATTGTGCCTCCTGAATCTGAGGATTCACTCCATCTTCAGTTCTTCAGAATATTTAGCCAAAATCCTTTGGAAAATTATTTTTTTCCATTTGCTTCTCTGGAATTTTACTAGATGTATTTTGGGTTTTCTTATTTACTTCTCCATCTCTTTTTTACAAATTTACATTTTGCTTCCTGTTTATGTACTGTGTTCTTGAGTGATCTCTTTAGATACTTACTGTGTTTTTATTTTTCTGAGTTCATCTGTGGCTAAATTGTTGTTCAGCCTGTCCTTTGAGTTTTTAATTTCACTCCAATAATTATTTTTAGATCATGTTGACCCCTTTTCAAAAGTGCTTTTTGTTTTTTCTCTTGGTATCATTTTCTTTTCTCATGTTTCCATTCAATTTTTATGTCTTTATGTATTTTAAACACATTTTATATAATGTTTGTATTTTAGGTAACTGAAATTCCACTATATGAATTTCTTAATGGTTTAATTTGGCTCTTGTTGTTTTTCATCATGGTGATTTATTTCATCATGTACTGCATAATTCTTGATGATAATGTCATATTTATCACTCTATCAATTTAGCTTAGTTTGTGAGTGTATTTCTACAGTTTTGTGTTTGCTTTTGTCTAATGTCTCGGGGTTGTTCCCAAGCAAAGACCAAGTTTTAAGTTAATTTCTTAGTTTGAGACATTTTGGACAACGCAGAAAATGCATATAAAGTTCCCAACCCGCTTGAAGGCAGAACATTGTTTAGGAATTCTCAAGAGGGGTTCCCCCCAACACCTCACTGTTTTGACAGAGAAGCTTTCTTGTTTTCTTCTTTCTCTAGCTTTTTTGTTTGTTTGTTTTTTCTAAATTTTTGTTTTGTTTTCCCAGGTCCACTATTTCACTTAGAGTCTTGCTCTCTTTTGACAAGCTTAAGGCTTTTCTCTAGTTCTCTTTAGGCAGATTTTTTCTCATTTTTAAACCTTCCTTCCTTCCATTCTCCTTTCCTTCCTCCCCAAACCCCAGCTTTTATTTTTCCTCTAATCGTTGCAATATGGCTACCTGAGAGCTTTGTTCGCTTTTACTCTGCTAGGAGATTTTTAGCAGAAAGATGTTTCTAGATACCTAGTATATGAGATGATTGGAAATGGAAATCTTTTCCTATGTATTTATTTCATTTTCACCTGCCCACTCCCCAACTTATCTGCTTACTTTTTCCTGTGAGAAATACACTGATAAAAACAAATCAAAACAAAAACAAAACTTAATATGCTACGTTGAATCTCTAATAATTTCAAAGTACAAATTACAATTTGTCTTTAATTTTTCATCTAAGAGCTTAATTTTTTCATGCAAATTTAAATTCTTATGATGTCACTTAGTGAAAATTGTTATTTCTTGCCTTTGCTTCAGGCTTGAAGTGGTCCCCAAATCACCAAATGAGAGGTTTCTGTTCTGAAGTGCTGAGATTCATTATAATTCTTATGAGTGAATTACAACTTTCATATAATTCTATTATTATTTAACCTTTCCTTTTCTTCCTCCTCCCTTTGGTCCTACTTTCAAACTTTGTATCATAGCTGTCTTCCTAATTCACTGACAGACCTGAGACTAACAGTTTTATGTTTTTGATTAATCTTTTTCTAGAGTCTCCACTGGTACATTTTACTATAAAATCTGGACATGTCCTCCTTTCGTTTGGTCTCTGAGCACCAAGATTGCCAGTTTCTTCTACCAAAATTCACAAATCTTTCCAGTTTGTCCAAGACACCTTTAAGTCTGCATTTTATTTTTATTTTCTTAGTTCCAACCCTATTCAATGACTATAGATATTTTCCCCAAAGATCCCAAATACAGGTATTAACCAAAAGTAACCAGAGGAATGTATCTTGCAGGTTTAATCGCTATCTGGTAGATATTAGTTCTCGCCACTGGTGGCGCAGTGGTTAAGAGCTATGGCTGCTAACCAAAAGGTCGACAGTTCGTATCTACCAGCCACTCGTTGGAAACCCTATGGGGCAGTTCTACTGTGTTTTATAGGGTGGCTATAAGTCGGAATTGACTTGACAGCAACAGGTTTGTTTTTTTTGGTTTAGTGGAAACTAGAGCCCCAATTAGACTCTGATCTTATACAGTATATGATGTTTGTTGTCCATCCTAGAACTCCCTTAATTGTGGGTAGTTTTGTCTGCTTGGTTTGCTGGACTAACCTAGAGCAAATAGTACACCCTTTCCATTCATCCTTATTCACTCTAACTTGGCATGGCCAGTGGAGCAGATTGTTGTATTTAAAACAAGCTGTTCAACTTCTACATAAAAAACTTCATATATTTATAGACTGTTCATTGTTGAAAGAGTAGGGGTTTCATCTTCCAGTCTTGTAACCAAATGACCAGTCATTATAAAGCATATTCCTTCTATATATACTTAATCATTCTATGAATTTTTTGGGGGGGGAGGAGGAGGAATGGGGGGGTTAAAGTGGGCTAGAAAACCCAATGTCTATTCAGTCATATTAATTCTGTGTGTCTTCAACCAAATGATTAATATATAGACAGTTCCAAAAAATGATTTGTTGTTATATTATTCAAACCAGTCCAAAAAAGCTTTACTTTTTAATCTGTAGTCCTTATACAACTCAGAGTTTTCCTCAATTTCACTCTTTGTCTGGTGCAAATTATTAACCCCATATCATCATGAACATATTCAGTACAAGAACATTCAGTTAATGATTCAAACAATGTTTTATCTTCTTTTCATTTGTATTAACTAGGAGATCTGTGCTTTTTTTTAGAGGGAAAATAAGGAACAGGAATCTGATTTATATGATCATTAGCTTCATTTTTTTTTGGAGGGGAGAAGGGGGCTAGAAAGCTGAGTGATTATGAATATGTCTCCTGAAACATTTAATTTCAGTCTGGCAATAAGTAGAATTAAATAAATACCACATTTGTTTTCATCTTAAGTACTTCATTGGAGCCCTGGTGGCGCAGGGGTCAAGAGCTCGGCTGCTAACCAAAAAGGTCGGCAGTTCGAATCTACCAGCTGCTCCTTGGAAACTCTATGGGGCAGTCCTACCGTGTCCTATAGGGGCGCTATGAGTTGGAATCAACTCGATGGCAGTGGGTTTTTAAGCACTTCAGTAACCTAAATTATATGGTTGACCATGTAATAGGCAAAAAAGCCATTAGAATTTATCAAAAATCAGGAAAACTATTTAAACTGTGAAAGTTAATTACTGAGTAATAGAACAACAGGAGTCGTATATTTAGATTGAATTTTGTATTTACAGTTATTTATATAAATTTTTATGGAAGTGATATAATTTACAAAGTATTGGAAAAACTGAGTAAGTTGAGGTACACCATTAGTAGTTATATATTAACAAGTGTCCGTCCATCCATACTCCTGACTAGAGGTGCAGTTTAACAATTTAACATGGTAGAATTGAGCAAAACTGGCTTGTAGAAGAATTGAACTCATGACAATACCTCATGCTTTAACAGGTAGAGCTTTTGAGTCCCAGAAAAGTACAAGCCTCTTGTTAATTTTAGGAGTCAAGCCAGAATAATGATTACAAACATAAAGGTAATTATAAATCAGAACAATGCCTTAATTATTTTGTAAACTTAATTTTTGGAACACAGAGCTAGAAGTTGTAACATGGGCCTTATTCTTGTTTTTAAACCTAGTATTTCTTTGTGGAATGAGTGGAGGGTATGCCTCAGGATAAGCTGCTTAAAGTTTTTAAACTTTCAGTCTCTTAGAGTAAATTTAATTTCAAAGAGCTATCTTGATTTTGCTCAGATGCCCAGCAATATATTATTCAAAACCAAAAGGGACCAAAAAGTTTAGTTATATATCCAAATGAATTCTTTGTGTTATATATGGAAGCACATTTGGAAATATTTGAGATTTGGAGATGGCATTTTTTTCATTTTTGCATGTGTTATTTATATCCTATGAATGCAAGAAAAAAAATAAATACCCCAAAACTTTGTTCTTTCTTAACTCTAAATACATAAGCAACCTTATTTATTCTTAAAGTACATTTATTAATATAAAAAGTAGCTAATAATTTTTTTTAAATTGTATTTATATTTTAGGCTAAAAATCTCATAGAAAGATTTTTTAATCAACAAGTAGAAGTTCTAGGCAAACGTGCAGAGCCATTGCCTGAAATATACTATATTGAAGGTACCCTCCATATGGTTTGGATTAATCGCTGCTTTCCAGGGTATGGAATGAATGCCCTGACACATCCAAACTGTCCTGAATGCTGTGGTATGTAATGAACTCTGATTTCATTTTTTTTAATTTATGAAAATTCACTTATGTTATGCCTATCACTTATTTTTACTATCATTTAAATATTTCTTTAGCTTATTTGAAGTGGTGTTTTTGAAAAGACTATGTAGATTTGAAGATATAAAAGAAATAAAGCTGGTTTAATTCCAGTCTTGGTATTAATATTACAGCAAAGAGAGTTAGTGGCATTAGGCAGTTGTCTGGGAGAAAACACAAATAATTAACGGTTTCGAGTCACTTAGCGTTGTTGTTGATAGTTGCCTAGAGTTGACTGCAACTCATGGTGACCCCACATACATCAGAACTAAGCATTGCTCCGGTCCTGTGCCATATTCATGATCATTGATAGGCTCAAGTCCATCGTTACAGTTACTATGTATTTTGAGTGCCTCCCAACCTAGGGGCCTAATCTTCCAGCACAATATCACTGGCTAATTTTTGGAAGTATATCACCAGGCCTTTCTTCCTAGTCTGCTTTAATCTAGAAGCTCTGCAGAAACCTGTCCACCATGAGTGACCCTTTTGGTATTTGAAATATCAGTGGCATAGCTTCCAGCATCCTAGCAACACACAAGCCCCATAGTATGACAAATTGACAGAGGGGTGGTGGCTCTTAGAGTTACTTACACTAAAGAGCCAAATGATACTTTGTTTATAATCCGTTATTGATGAGTCAGTTTGTATACTCTAGGGTAGATAACTTTTTTATGATTTTTTTTTCCTTTTGGAATAAATGTGCAATTCTTTTATTACCAGTTGTTTTTTATGACTTTTAATTCTAGCACTAAAGGATCTGAGCCACTAGCTGACATTTATCCATATTCATCCTTATTGTAGAAGAGAGTTCTGTAGAGATTGTTGGCTTAGGATGAGAATATAGATTCAAAGTCTTTGAATTTTTATTATTAGGAATTGAGTGAGACAATTTTCAGTCTGTAAAGACTTTCTAAAATAAATATCATTAATTAGTTTCATTTTAGTTCAGCCTTCTCATTGTTATTTTCTGCTCTTCCTACTCTTTAATTAGATAAAAAGGTCTCATACAATAGAGCACTAAACATTCTTTTTGCTTTGATTTATTTTATTTGGTTTGATTTTGCTTTGAAATTTGTTTTTGTTTAAATATATTACATACATATACAAATATACATATTTGACACAATGTACTAAAAAGGAAATATACTACAAATGTAAAAATAAAGCATTTCCAAATTTCTAACTTTTTATGATCTGTGATTGTATATATAAGTCTAGAGCACAGATAAGGGTGAAGAAAAAGTTGGAAGTGCCAAGCAAAGAAATCAGAACCCAGTAGCTTAGTTGTCTGTTAGTACACAATTATATCTTTATTCAGTAAAGTTTTAAGGTGAACTAAAATTGGTAAAAATTGATCTTATTAATTCCAAGAATTTTGAAGTAGTTAAAATACCTCTTTAAAATGAAATATTGTCAAAAATCTCTGAGAAGCATAAATAATTTTACCATTCTAAAACATTTTTTTGTGTTTATGAAATTTCAGGCAATAACACAATTGTCAGATTCTCTAGTTCATCATGTAATTATAAAATTCAATTTATTATATGTTGTATGCTTGACCAATTTCAGTGATCAATTATTATATTCCTGACATCAGACTCCATAAGAAGAATACAAGAGAACATATAAATCTCAAGATTCTGTCTCTGAGATACTGTTTTGAGAATTATGTGGTCTCTGCCCACAGAATTTAGAGACATAGGAAATGCTTGCATAAAAGAGGGAGCAAGAGACTGTTAAGTTGTGTAAAAGAGATGGAAAGGAGATAAGATAAAGAAAACTGAGTTAGAGATTGGCTGGATCTCAGAGGGTTAATGTAGTTGAGATAAGTCTTTCTGGATGATTTGAGACTTTGAGGTAGGACTTTGAATGATTCAGGGTTAGCAAGTACAATTCAAGCAAGGGCATCAATGAGTATCAAGTTTCTGGGGGAATTTAACTAACTTGGGCCAGAGGGTTGGTATACTAAGAACTAAGAAACATAACAGAACTTAATTAAAAAATAGATGATTTAAAATTTAATTAGCCAATAGGAGACATATCTTTGAGTAGAGGAGAGAAGTACAATTTATTTTTGAAATTTTTGGGATCATTATAATTGTTGATAATTTTTTTTTTCCTAGAGTTTTTTTTTTTTAATTGTGCTTTACGTGGTTGATAGGTTTAACTAGTGATTTGCTAAATTTTGTGCCATTTTATGGTAAAGTAAAATTTTTAATTTAGATTTACCTGTGTGCAGTTATCTCTGTGGCCTAATTAAGCAAAATTAAGCTCCTTGTTTTGAACAGAGCTTATTAAAATATAATATGACTTTCAGGTCCTGATCACATATAGTATTTTTTGTCCATATTACATAAGATGATCACCCTACCATTTTAAAAGAGCACATAATACTCAAAAAGACATTTAAATCATTCTCCAAATTGAAAGTGTAAAATATATCCATGCTGACACTAGTTACAAGACAAAATTAACATACTGAAAGAACTTAAAATCTGTTGAAGTGTGAAATGAAATCCTAGATAGAAGCACATAAAATATATGAGGTATTTTACAAAATGACTTATTTCCAGAATGAAAAAGATTGAGATAAGTCAAGTCATGTTTGTTATGTGAGAGAAGTTTATTTACTTTCTCAGCAGTAAGTTAACACTGATTTTTTATTTCTTGTTATATCTTCCTTTGCCCATTTAATTTTTACCTCTAGAAGACAAAGATTGTTTGCTTATAAATTAGTTGAGACTCAACATTTCTACCTATTTCATTTCTAATTTATTTAGCGATTTTTAGTTAATGTTCACTAATAAAATATTTCTCTGTAACTTTACATTTAGCAATGCTTATTTATCTGTCATTCTTGTCAGGCATTTTGTCACTGCAGAAAGAAAAAGCTTTAATCAAATTCATGAATCATAGGTGCCTCACAATTTCATAATTTGTATCAAGCTACAACAACCAAAAACCAGATAGAATATTATATTATTTTCTACTAATATTTTGTCTAAACACAGACTGTGAATTGTATATTACTATATAATTTCTATTATTTCTGGTTAACCATCTTTGAAACTTTGTTTGCCCTATCTATTCTTCTTTCCTCATTATATCACCTCAAAAAAACACTTATGGGTCAAATAACATTTTTTTTTTTTTTTGACGTGTTGCCCCCTCTTCACACCTACCTCTCTTTAAACTCTGGCAGCAGTTTTAAAATTCTGCTGTATATCAAAATTACCTGAAGGTTTTTTCAAAAATACACTCAAGAATAGGGAACTAGACATCTACATTTATAATAAGTTTCGTAGGTGATTCTGATACACATGAAAGTTTAGAAACTCCTGAATATTAGTGTTGATAGACAATACCTAGCAGAATGACAGTCCTCCTACTGGGGCTGTAAACTATTTGCCATTGACTATTATGGATTGGGGAGCCCTGGTGGCACAGTGATTAAGAGCTATGGCCACTAACCAAAAACTCGGCAGTTCAAATCCACCATCCACTCCTTCGAAACCCTATGTGGCAGTTCTACTCTGTCTTATAGGGTTGCAATGAGTCGGAATTAGCTCAACGACTCAATGGCAACGGGTTTAGGTTTTGGGGTTTATTATGAATTGACTGTATAGCTCAATAATACTTTATACAGCATTATTTTTCTCCGATGCTTTCTTTATAAATATGGTAAGCTATTGATCATTCAAGGAGCCCTGGTAGTGCAGTGGTTAAAATGCTTAGCTGCTAACCAAAAGGTTGTCAGTTCAAACCCACCATCTGCTCTGTGAGAGAAAGATGTGGCAGTCTGCTTCCATAAACATTTGCAGCCTTGTAAACCTATGGGACAGTTCTGCTGTGTCCTGTAGGGTTGCTAAGAGTCATAATTGACTCAACGGCAGTAGGTTTATTGCTCATTCAAGCCTTTTGCAAGTCATTGGGCGACTCTAGAAGGGAACACTTTTATAGTATGTCAGTGGTCAGAAATTATTAGGTTGCAGATTATTTAATCATTCTTAAATGATTTTGATTAATAAAGTATATCTTTGTATATTAAATTAACTGTGTGGTGAAGTGAATGCTGTTTAGTAGATAGAGTTGTTAATAATAAGGTCTTTTAGACTCTACAGATTTATCCTACTCAATCATGTGGGCGTGAACTCTTGTTTTAATTTTACATCAAAAAAATCAGAAACACAAAAAAGTTTCCCTGCCTTCCTTTACACTATAGATATTTAAATATAAGTTATCAATATAAAATAAAACTCATTTTTTTATTTAAATGCACAAAGGCATCGTTCCAATTTTGGATCATCACATTTCTGAGGAAACTCTAAATAACTGAAAAATTATGGTCTATGATGGATCATTGTGTAGATTGGCAGTATGGGTTGACAAGATTTTCTTTAAAAAGGTAGATTTATTTCCTATAAGAACAGACCATGTAATTACGACCAACCCATCTGACTGAAACTAGATGAAATACAAAAAGCATCTTAAGTATCTTGAAGAACTAACAACATCATGAAGACTTAAACCAAAACCCAAACTTATTGCCATCGAGTCGATTTCTGACTCATAGCTGTCGCAGTGGTGACAGTTGTTGGGGCGGCGGAGACAATAACCAATGCCACAACTCTTACAGAGAAGTGGGACCAGGAGGGTCACTC